CTGGGCAAACGATTTTAAGTAGCCCGCAAGACGTTGAGTTCAACCCTAATTTTGCATAAAAACCGCGACATTGCCGTGGTTAAAAATAGCGTTACACGGCCCGTCACGCCAGTGTTACCGATAGATACGCTTTAAACAATTTACTTAAAGGCAGTAAACCTATTATTCTCATTGATTGCAGCATTTTCTTCAGATACAACATTTAGGGTCCCTGGGATAGCGTCACACACTTTCATGTTCAGTTTCAGACTGGCGATTTCCCTCAAAAAATGGTATATAAACAGAACAAAATCTGAAAACTAAAACTGATTACTGAATGAATTTTTGCATTGAGAGATATTTGCGAATTAAATCATTGCCAATCAATTCCATTTGGTTTATAAAAAATAATTTCCTTGAAGCAGTTTTAAAGAATAAAAATATGTTAGACTAGGTATTGGTGCAATAGTTCTCTTCGAAGTTTTTACCCTTGCGGGCTCTCAAAACTGAAAAAAGAAAAGACTACGTGGATGCCCCAAGAGGAGCATATACTTGTATGACAACGTGTATGAATCATGAAGCTACTGCATGACTATGACCCATTAAAACAAACTAAGAGAACTCTTTGGTGCTTTGCCAGGCTTACCATAAACTCAATTTCGGGTTGCTTTCGACGTTTCAGTGGAAAATTCCTGAAACAAACGAACGTCTGAAAAGGCAATCGCCTATTTTCCTGGATGGAAACTTCCAGGCGGAAGTTCGGATGTCCTGTCTTCAAACCTTTTTTGAATATTAGTTTCAGGCTTTCGCGGCCGTTTTTCATTAAACAAAACTGACTTAGGAAAATGGTAAACGCAATTACCGAACGGAATCAAAATTAATCAGTCCTGAATTCTCCTCACGATTTGGCCAAACCGTGAAGCGACCAGTTTACCAATGTAAATAGTAGAAAAGCCTTGATGCCAAGAGCCTGCGATAAAGCTTCCTCTCATCGCTATCTGCCGCCAGGGACATTTCGTCAAAGAGCAGTGAGAGGCGGGTGTATAGCAAACTATGCGTCATATATCTTAAGTACTTTTGAGGGGCATGTTAAGTGCATAATAGATCGTAGCAAGGGCAGATCGTTGCAGTATCTCTAATTACTTATTAAGAGACACCAACAGAAAGCTCGCTATTCCTCTACCTCAGACAAATGTTAAGAAAAATAGTTTTTTGGAGCAGTTCTTTGGAATAGCCTTCCTATATATTGACCAGCAGAAGGCGAAGTCTCTTGGGGTTTTGAGGGCCGGCTGCAAACAATTCTTCTGGAGATCTACAAGGTACTTACGTAAAGCGGACTAAGGCTTTCAGTCTTCTAGTATTCGGTTTGTGACAAAGGCAAAGGTGGGGCTTTGGAGGCCTGCTTGGGCATCTAAGTTTCATGGACTAAGGTTACGGAGGATGAGGAAAGTCCTCAAGTCTGCCTTTCCCTTTTAGGTGTTCCCATTCGTTCGTTACAAGGTTCTTCTTAGGTTTAGTATTATACTCTATTTTGTTTCCCTATTTTTATTGTTTTTTGTTTCTTTTTTTTTTTTTTGCGGAAAAGACGATGTTCTCCTTCCAAACGCTGTTGAAAGGAACTTTCAGTCTTTTAACCTGTCATCTGCAGTTCAGTATTACAGCTAGAGTTTCCATGACACTAAAACGTCAATCAGTGCAAAGTCTTTCAGGCCACAAAGCAGCCCGTACTTTTTGCGTAAGCCAAGAAGGCGGAATAGTCGAGGTAATGGTCTGGAGCAATTCAAAATGGTCGTTCCCTCTTGTCTGGAGCAGAGGGGGCACTGCGGGGGAGGGGAGAGGTGAGTGAGACTGGGGAGAGAATCGAAAAATAAGTCTAAAAAATACATTAGAAAATGAGAAAGAAAAATAAAAGAAAGAAAACAAGAAAGAAAAAAAAGTTTCGCAGTCTAAAAGCAGTTGAAAAGTTAGTACTACCAAATCCGTTCCTGCTGATCAATAACAAAGCGCCAAAAGTGCTCGACGCTCAAGTTGAATACTGTATTTATTCGAATAAGCGCCTAACCTCGAATTAGCGCCCACCTCGAATAAGCGCCCATCCTAAAGGCAGCAAAGTTATAGCGCCCAACCCCACCCCACTCTCTCCCACACAAACTCAAATAAGAGATAATAAGTAATAAAGAGACCCTCCTGAAGACGGAGTTTTCCTCAGAGCATTTTACAGAACCTTGCTTTGTTACATTTTTTATCATTTTGTTACGAAACTAACATACTACACTTGCAGAGAATGGCGAAAATTTAATAAGCGCCCAGCCTCGAATAAGCACCCACCTCGAATAAGCGCCCACTCTCAAGGTCCAAAAATTTAATAAGCGCTCAGGGCGGTTAATCGAATAAATACGGTATATACCATAAAAATTGTAAATGGAGGACGTAGTTAACCTGTAACAGGCCTTCAGGTAGTTGGGAAAACGCAAAGAAAAGTGGGCTAGAAAAAATGGCGAAGGGACGGGGTTAGGGAGAGAGGGCGAAAGGTCCTGCTCCTCTCTCCCTCTTACTCTCTTCCACGTTTGTTTTCCTCCGTTCCCCATTTCGCGCCACTGTCCACTTTCCACTATCCACTATCCACTGTCCACTGTCCACTACGCCTGGAATAGGCTAGTTCATAGTGGGCCAGAGAGTTTTTTTCCAATGGCGATGCAAGGGATCTATAGATGTCCATTTAGGAGCATTTGCCATTTTAAAAAGCTCATGATCACGCTGCAACTATTCCTGCTTTAACATTAGTAAAACGACACTTTTTTTTCTATTTTCTGTTTTGCTGCAGAGGAAAGTTTTTGGTGCTTTGTTTTTGATGATGTTGTTTCATCGTCGATCGAAACGAGTTAAAATGTTTTCTGAAACGTTAGCTACAATGTAACTTTATAAGCGTGATAGTAATACATCGAAACGTACATTTATACTTATACATAAATATTTGAAAGAGAAAACTCGAAAGAAAAAAGAGAGTTCTAATTAGTTAATATTTGTTATCCCCGTCTTAAATTTAACGTATTTATGCTTTTTGACTCATGCTTAAATTGATAAAACACACCACTGTACTTGTTTAAAGTTTGTTTTCGTTGGGCTCCGGTCGTCGACGTCTTGCCGACGTCGCTCAAAAAAAGCTGACTTTTGGGCGGTTCTACACTATATATGGTATCCAAACAAAATGACTCTTCTAAATAAGATAAGTGTATTGAAAGATGTAATATAGATTGTATGCTGGAATTTGGCATGTGATCAGTGTAGAATAGAATGTTGAAAGTGAATCTGTCGTTAACACCGCTGGCGTGACGGGCCGTGTCACGCTACTTTTAACCACTGGAATGTCGCGATTTTTCGCAAAATTAGGGTTGAACTCGGCGTCTTGCAGGCTTCTTAAAATCGTTTGCCCAGAGATTTGTTTCGATTTTCTGATATATTGGGACCTAGTTAAGCCGTAGAAAGTCAATTTGCGAAATTCTAAGTTATAGTGCATTGTAAAAATTTACATTATTTTCACCCTATAATTTTGAACAGTAGAAATTGTCAATAGGGCCTATTTTTAACAATACCTTTTTGGCCACAAACTTATCACAGCTTTCACAAATTTATCGTCTTATAAGAAAGAAAGGGTCATAAAAACTATTCGTGTTCTATAAAGGCTGCCAAATCGTTGTGGTTTGACGTACGAGTCAATGGAATTTGTGTAAAGTCACGCTTTACCGGAAGTGGATTTTGAGCTCCGAACGGGCAAAATGAGTTTCCTCGAATTTTAACAAAAGAATACGTTATTTGGGAAAACTAACTACAGCATGTTTCATTACTCATTAAGGGTTATCGATGAGCCAAAAATGAGGGAAATTCGAATTTTGAACGGGTGCCACAAAAAGTCGATTTTGGTCGATATTTACAGACAGTCGCTCTTAATATTTGTAGTACTTTTTCTTAATTTGATTTTTCTAAAAATGAATAATCAAAGATAAATGAGTAATATACATCATCCTATCTTTACAAACTACTACCTTAGTCCAGATGGCAATATTATGAATTCAAGAGACAGAGAGGCAAAACAAAGTTTACACAATCATAAAATGGTATTAACTATTAGAACAAATAAAAAAATCCTGTTAAATATCCTGTAGACAAGTTTATCTATCAAGCAGCTGTAGGTAGAAATATTAGTAATTATTTAGATATAATTAATATATATGGAGACAAACTAGATAACTCTTTATCTAATGTAAAACTTGTTGTAAACAAAAGTGACAATAATCCCTATAAAGATAGGGTGAATATTATAGCAACTAATCTCGACACTGACGCAAAATCTTTTTACTATTCTACTTCTTCCGCAGGAAAAGACTTAGATATAAATCCCGGATCTATAAGTCTTATTCTAAACGAAAAAAAAAAGAGCTAAATCAAAGAAAGATAATAATCGGTATACTTTTTCTTACAATTATAATAAAAAAGGAATGGTTAATCTTCTTAGAAATAAAGCAGAGAAATCAATAGAAGAACTGGAAACTAAAAAAGAAAGATGTTTGGATAAATATGATCTCTAGAGTGTAAAAAGAACTACTACATATTTTAATCTAAAATAAAAAAAATATATAAATATTTTTATTTTCTTCTTTAATAATAGTACTTATTAAAACTTCTATCTACTCTTTAGATAGAAGATGATAAACACAATAGATAGATATGATCTCTAGAGTGTAATAAGAACTACTAAATATTTTAATCCAAAATAAAATATAGATATAAATATTTTTATTTTTTCTTCACTAGTATTTGTAGTACTTTTTCGTCCTCTATCTAATCTTTAGATAGAAGATGATAAACACAATCGTTGAATACGTTAACTATTACATGCCGCGTTATAAATCAAATATATACTGTGATGACTTCATCCGGGGTTGTCTTGTTTACAAGTATCTCTCCCTTCTGTGCCAGAAAATTGTACATCGCAGTGTTACGTCGACGATACCAAACTTCTCATGTCATTTCAACTCCGCGATCAGCACGAAACGATAGAAAAAATGAACAAGGACTTGTTAAGCATTAGGAATTGGTGCTTTGATAATCAGCTTTTACTCAACCCAGATAAAACAAAACTAGTGATATTCGGCAGCCGGCAAATGACTGCTAAGGTTAGCGACTTTAGGCTATTTCTATTGGGGAAGGAACTCGAGCCCGTTAAGGCTGCAAGAGACCTTGGTGTCACACTGGACTCTAACTTAACATATAATGAGCATATTGTTTCTACTGTATCCTCATGCATGTCACGTTTGGGCCAAATTAACCGCGTTAAGCATATTTTTAATAAACACGCGCTAATTATTATTATAAATGCCTTATTATTTATTAAATTATTCTATTGCTCTTCTGTTTGGAGCAATACTACTCAAACTAATCTGGACAAGCTCCAAGCAGTACAGAATTTCGCTTGTCGTATTTTGAGCGGCGCTAAAAATTCGATCACATAACTCCTTTGCTAAAAGACTTGCGCTGGCTACCAATCAGGCAACAACTTTATTTTCGTTTTGCTGTTCTGGTTTTTAAGTGCATGACGAGTTGTGCTCCGGAGTATTTGACATCAAAGCTCGTTGGAAGATCCGCCGTCTCGACAAGGAATACGAGAAATTCTCAACTTTTGAACATACCACTCTTCCGCACTGCCAGCAGCCAAAGGACCTTTCAATATAGAGCAACCTCTCTCTCGAATGAGTTGCAGCCTGCGCTCAAACTTAGCCCATCCGTGACGGAATTCAAGTGTTTACTCAGGCAAAAGCTTCTTAATGACTGCTTTATTTAATTAATTTAATTAATTTTATTGACCTTTGTCTTCTTTTATCATTGTTATATTCTTATTGTCATGTACTTGGTTTATAATTTTGTAATGTAAAATTGACTCTGAAAAGCCCCGTGGGGACGAGCCAATAAAGTATGTATGTATGTATGTATAAATATTTCTCGCATAATACAAAATGGGCACTAATTCTCTAAAGACTATTTGCAGAGCGAAATAGTTTTGTAACAGTCTCAAATGTTCTCCGCAATCAATTAATCTTCTCTACCGCCTTTCGCGCATTCTGGAAACATTGTCGCATGAGGCGAGGATGTGTTTATGTCGCTGACACATGTTTTCAAGAGTATGAAACGCTTGGTTATTTAACAGGTATCGAGTATATTGATTTGTAATATCTCCATTAGCGCTCATATTTCTCAAGCGTTTGATTAGAAATCTTAAGATCTATTGTTTGATAACCATTACATCCCATTTCCTGTAATATTTTTCTAGTGAGGTAGTAAATACTTATCATTCTCTTTCTCTTAAATTTATTGTTTAAACTCAACATTAAATCTCTTTTACTCTTACTTCGCTCACTACCACCAGTCTCCATTAATCGCTTGTATAAGCAGTGTTTTTCTTCCTCTGTTAGTATTAACCCAAACTTATTAAAGATATCTTCAATCTTTTTCTCATAATGATATTTTCGCTGATAAATAGATCTCTGTCGAAAATGAAATCTCTCATACTCTCGTTGATCGTAGTATCCCAAAGCATGACCATTACTCATATAACATTTCTCACACCAATTATAACCCATCTCCCTCCAGAATCTATCGCATCCACAATTGCGGCGTCTAACTCTTCTATCAGATTCTTGAGTTGATTGGGGGTTGAGATAGCTTAAATATAACTCTACTTGCTTGTTTGTGTATCGCATACTTAATTTAAGATTATTTTATCTAACAGCAAGAGTATGAATCTGATCCTCACGGACCTGTCTCTTATTTATACTCTATGAGTAAATATCATGGTTTTCATGGTTTAATATTCATCGCTCTCATTTGTTTTTCTGCAGGAAATAAACACTGTTTGTAATCTTCAAATGTGATTTCATGTTTAATCACATTTTTCTTTATCCCTTTACATTTTCTAGTTTCCCTGGCATCGCCGCCCCCTTCAACTTTTAAACTGTAAAGCTTTGGCCTCAACCCAACAAAGTGAGTAATCTGACGACCGGCTACTTCATCTTTGAACTTTCCAATTGCTTTCTTGTTAACTCCTGTCTTAATACCAGATGGATGATTCTCAGGGTAGTCACTAGTATCAAACTTACGCTTAATATCGTGAGATATATCCTGATAAAAATCATCCGTATGAATTAGGTACAACAAACTGTCTGTATCAGTAGACAACAACTCAGCCGCGTCATCATATTTCGCTCTAATATAATCATAATGAAAATCAAACATTAACGTTTTTTACAAATCTAGTATTGCTTGCCCAACATATATTGGTTTGTTAAAATACACTTCAGTTCTCTTCATGTGAACAGCAATAAGATTGCGATCAAATATTGTAGCAAGATCAAAGTTTGGTTTTGTAGACAGTCGTAAGGCTTCTCGCCGATTATCAATCAACTCCACATTCTGTCTCTTTCTAATGTTTTCTATTGTTTTACCAAATACTGAATTGTTCATCAGTTTGAAAAAATCTTTCGCAAAACTGTTGGCTGCAGCCTTTCTAAGCTCTATATTTTTTAAAATATACGGCGCCATCCAAGGAGATTGATAAAATGATATTCCCCTGTGAACAGCAGTTAATCTCATTCCCATTTCAAGATATTGTTTGAGATTGCGATAATGAACTACGGAGTGTGACCTGGGTTTAAAGGATCCACTTAGTTTATCTACTCCATTTACCACCATCTTCTCTGGTGCAAGAGGATAATCATTGTGTTTATTCCACAGTTCACTTAGACAATCCAGATCAACCTCAAATATATATCCCTTGTTTGTCTTTCGATTTTCTAGCAGATCAATTACACTGTATACCGTTAAATCTTTCTTCCATCTAAAGCCATGTGTTGGAAGTGGCTGTGACATTGCCCACCCATAGAGATTGTTGGCATCTAAATATTGATTGTATGTAGAAGGTTTATTAGGATTATAATCACGCATATATTTGTTATTCGCCTAAACATACCGCCGCGATATGTGAGTTATTCCTCCGCGAATACCACGCTCAAACATCATCCACATATCGTAATCATGCAACAACTGTAATTCTTGCCCAGTAGTTTTAAGACATGCATCCCAGGCTAGTCCAGGAGACGTATAGTAATGCGCTGGGTCTAGATTGTAATGTCTGAAACAGGTTTTTCTAAATGACTCAAATACATCTGCCAGCAAGAGAACATCAGACTTGAGGTAGAGATCGTTATAATCACGAATAGTCTGGCATTGAAATGTATTCCATACATTGAGTGCATGTTGGTAATCAGCATCAGATATATCCGCATCATTTGAGCGAGAATAGAATTCTGATTTGGGTGGGAGTTGTGTCTCAGAGAATCGTTCAATAGATGAAACATAGTCATAAGGATAAACACCTTTACGAGTTAACAATTCCACTACACCCTCGCTTCGCTCACTATCTTTGATTATGGCCTTTTGTGTTGTGACAATCATCTGGTTGAAGATTCCCAACAAGATTAGCAAGAGACGTTTGAAGAAACTTGAAAGAGTCAATAAGTCGTATCTCAAAATTAAGTGAAACTGTTTCTCCATTTCGTCGAGATTTGTACTCACCAACCTTTATCTTCTAGGAAAATGAGATATATTTCTCTTCTTTCGATGGAATGCAGGACAGTCCGCCTGACAGTCGCGCAAGTTGTTTAATAAACAGATGCCCACCATAACCCTGAAGATTATGAAATATGACTGGAAAATCATTGGCTTTCGACATTGCAAGTTACACCTGTTATGAGCAGCTCCTCGATAAACTCCAGTAAAGTGACAGTGGTCACGTACTCTATCATCATTTAACTCTCCACCACATATATGACATTTAGTAGCGGAATAATACTCTTGTTGACGAGTCATATCAAGTTTCATTGGTATTGGTTTGCGGTAGAAATCGTTATAAATCTTATGTGTCAATTTCTCAAGTTTGGAAACAAATATTACAGCCACATCATCATCCTCAGATTTCTTTGTATAAGTAATAGGTTTAAATAGTTTGTTAATTCCATCCAGTCCTTTGAGATAAAGACAAAATCTTGATGGCTCATGTTTCTAATAGCTGTAAGTATAAGAATCTTCTGGATTGGGGCTACAAGTGCTCATTGGTTTGGTAAAACATTCAAAATCAGCATAAACTACAAAAGGGATTGGAAGTTGTTTGTGGTAATTAACAAAACGCAACTTCGTGTTTCTTGAAGGCATTTTCACAGCAACTGTTTCATTGGATGAACAATATTTAATATATTTGTCGTATAGATCCTCTTTTGAGAAATGAGTAAAACATTTCTTGCAAATATGGAGTACACCATTTGTCCTTGACGTTATTTCAGATCTAAATAATCGTGAAAAGTTTTTAATGAGTGAATAATGATATTTACCATCACATTCGTGAAGAAACAAATCGATTGTTTGCTGGGGGTTTCGCTGCGCCATTCTAAGAGCATAAAACTTGTTGTTATCATTAATTGAAAATACATTAATTCCTGACAGTGATGGATTAAGGGATTCAAACTTGGTGATATCTTTTAGTTTGACTGGGTAATCAATACCCTTGGTATTAAGATCATTTTCATATTGTTTCAAATCTGTCAGTCGATTTTCATAACGATTCGCTGGATGAAGATATCTAAGTATCTGACCAAAGAAAACATTTGTTGTCACGGTTTTGAAGGTTGATTATTGCTTTCTTTCTCATAATAAAATCTGGAAGTGGAATGTAAGACGAGCCCCTTATCGGTTTGTAATCAACAGTGTGCATTTCAAGATTAACTACTTCTTTAAAATACCAACCAGAGCCAGCTTTCTGATAAACTTCAATACTGTCAATAATCTTTTTAATCATTACAACAAGTATTTGCTTGACATATGTTGCTGCGAGATTAATATGAGTATCTGAGTGGAAATATGCTTTATCTTGAGTTTTGGTAGATAATTTGTAATCACCGTCAATTTTCTCCATTAGGCAAACCAACACCAGCCGAACTTTAATATTGCGATGATGTCGTAAAAACTCTTTGAGCTGGGGGGCTTTACTTTGAAAATATTGAAATGGAGTACACCAGATTCTCCTTTGATAACATATTTGTTAGCAAATTCTTCAAGAGCTGATTTCTCTTTTATGATTCCTTGTTGATATTCCCTGAGAGCTCGTTCAAGAGCTTTGCGAAGATGTGGAGGAGTATCAGCAGGAATTGTTTTGTTACGAATGCATTCCCGAAAATACTCATCAAATGATTTGGGTTTGGGTGGCGGTTTAATTTTATTTTGTGTTTGCTGTATTTTCATTATATCAGTAATCAATTTTTGTTCTTTCTTATATTGAGAATACTCTTTCTTGAGTTTTGTAGTTCATCTTTTTTTAATCTTTTTTAATTCAGAAATAGAAAGGTTACTTAAATCAGTGGTCATCTTACTTTATGATTAGATAATATTACTTTAAATCAATTTTATTTTTTTCTAAGGCAATTTTTATATCAATGTTTGATATAAAACACAGCTAATATTTAACAATTTTTATTAATCTAAAAAACTTATTAGCGAGTTTGTAAAGTTTTTGATGATAATCTGAAGTTTCCCAATCTTCAAATATCAAACAGGTTGTTGCATTTTCAAACAATCCTCCAAGCTCCTCAGCAGCACATGGATATGTTTCAATTACTTTTACTTTGCCAAAAACATCTAAATAATTTTTTGATTTAAAACCGAATAACATAAGAATACCTTCAGCATATTGCATTTCTTTGTTAAGATAATCTAATGGATCACCTTTTGTACAAGTATCTCTACCAATAAATAGTAACTCACGAAAAGTTTCATCAATATGATTTAAACAATCAAACTCATATTGTGAAGGAAATATGAGACCACGAACCTTAAAACCTTGATTTGCTCACTTAACTCCCATGATATATGCTTTTTATTCTTTAAACCTTAAAAATCAATTTTATTTTTTCTGACGCAATTCACATTTGTGGAAAATCCCCCAATTACACATTCACACACAACTCATCAAAATTCAGCAAATGGGGATTTCCCTGATTTCTGATTTAATTACTTTTTAGTAGTTATAGGAGGATGATTTCTGACGCAATTCCCAAGATACTCTTTCCTGGTTATTCCGCGAGCGAGCGAGCGAGCGAGCCATTATATTTGTCCCTCTTCATTAACATTTCCCACTTTAATGTTATTTGAGTAACAAAGATGATAGAAATAACCAGAAATTTAGACAGACATTTGACAGAAGAGTATCATGGAAAGACTTGAAAATAGTCAAATAAAAAATTTGGGTTCAGTGAATTTGGGGTGGAAGAGTACAAAAAAAATTACAGAGATTAAACAAGGAAATTTTAATGACGGATGACAGAGACAATGACAGGAATAACCAGGAAAGAGTATCTTGGGAATTGCGTCAGAAAGCATCCTCCTATAACTACTGTGGTTGACGAGCGCTTATTAACTTTTTCTGTCTTTAGGATGGGCGCTTATTCGAGGTGGGCGCTAATTCGAGGTTGGGCGAATATTCGAATAAATAGGGTAAGAATCTTTCTCGTTTTTCTCCCGTCACCTCGGAAAGCAATCGCCTCACTTTATAGAACCTTAGCTACGGGACAAACTCTCCATAAAGACCAGAAATATTTCATCTGACCATTATTCTTGAAAATATATCTCTGCAAAAACTGTAACTTATGCGCAACATATCAACTCTCACCTAACACGAAATATTCATCAGAATATAATTCTAAATTCAGTTTTTGTAATTTAATTTTTAGAAGTTCCGAAATTTATTATCGCACTCAATGAAAAGAGATATTTGAGATATCTCTCTTAAGCCTGATCAACCTTTTGGCTGTCCTGAAATGTCCTTAATGTTTCCCACTTTCAGCTTTACTTATAAGTCTGCATAAAAGGATTCGCATTCTTTTTTTAAGCGCAGATTCTAAACTTATTTATGAAACCATAGGGGCTGCAGAATCGTTCTGCATCATAGCACTGATAAGTTTGCAATGTGACACGCCTATTTTAGTAAATAATAATATTGGCAATTTTAAATAAAATATTTGATTTTGTGGAAGGTAGCAACATGAATTTCTTGCATCCGCTCTACACGGCTGAACCGGATTAGTTTAAAAATGGTATTTGGTGCGTACTTTTATAGGCAAACAAGATTACGGTGTTCCAAACTGTTGTCATTTCTTTTGTTCAAGGACTTCAAGACTTACCAAAAAAAAAACCTTTTGTGGACATTTTTAATCCATGTTCTCTAAAATCAATGACAATACATCACTTTCAAGCTTTTGCTATGGAGGGTGAAGAAAAAACTAAATAACTAAGTAACTAACATGTATGGCCTGAACTTTTATGCGAAATTTCAAAACTATTTCAAAAGCAAAGCCTTAGAACCGTTCTATCATAGCATTGATGAGTTTGAAATGCCACACCCTTGTATTTTGTTACGACAAACGATCCGATTATTTAGGCAGTAATAATGTTGGCAATTTTCAGTAAAATATTCGGAAGTTTCAAGAAACTAGTTAGCAACACCAGTTTATCCGGCTGAAGGTAACTGATCGAGTTTGAAAGTGGCTGTTACTGCAGCTTACTTAACCTGAGATCAGGCTCTATTTTCGTTTCGCTCTGTAAATAACATTCCGGCGGGCAGAGAGAATGTATGAGAACCGCTAAAATTGGGCCTGATCTCAGGTTACAGCTTACTTTTATAGACAAACAAGGCAGTCATGCCCCCAAACCGTTGCCAGAGTTTTGTCCAAGACTAACAGAAATAATAACACAGCCGTAAGCAGTTATGAAAGGCAGAATAATTAACAATTATTCTTTCAAATCGAGGTGAATAGTGGCTCTATATTTACCGAGCCACGAAGTGGCGAGGTAAATATTCCTAAAGCCACTATTCACCGAGATTGAAAAGAATAATTGTTTTAGTATATACACACGAAGTGATCTCAGCAAGAATCAGAGAGGAAACAATTAAAAAGTACGATTTGATTGACAGATCAGGTCAGCTAGACACGCGAAAGTTTAATAATAGACATGGCAATTCACAAGGTTATCACTTCGCAAACAACAGCGTACTGACTTAAATGAAACTGCTAAAAGTTAGAATTGTTTCTTTACCTGCATGAGAAGAAAATAAGAGCCTTGTTGTTTTCCGTTGACTCGTCAAGTTTATAGCCGAAAAGAATTGTTGTGTCGTTCTTCGCATGAAGTGCTGACAAAAATGGCGATTCGGTTCCTCGAGGTAAGACGTCGTTTTTAATTCATGTAGCATTCCTTCTCCTATTTACTTGAAACGTAGAATTTCTGCAAACACGTGCTTTGAAATTTGTTTGTCATAAATAAACTTCGTTTTGGGGCCAAATTTTTCTTGTTAGGAAACGCCGAGTTCAAGAAACGGCTTCTTCTACGCGAATAAACGGGAGTTGTAAACAATCCATCGACCACAAAACTCAAAACGCCGTTTTGAATCCTTCGAAGTCTTTTCTTGCCTGAAAAAAAGTCAACCCTAGGATTTTGTCGAATTTTAAAAGATCGTTCTCTAAAAAATGCAAAAAAACCGAGTTCACACATTATCCACTCGCTAGGAGGTGAATTTTGTTGAATGGATAGTCCGAGATAGCGAACCAATCAGATTGCTTAAATCACCAAGATCACTGAGTGTGTATATGCTAATAATAAATAATTACCCGCAAGCTCCATATATTCCTTCAAAGAAAGTCTGTTCTTATAATCTCCTTAAAAAACAATGTGCTCGTTCTAAAATAGTACTCAGCGTTTCATGTCTGCCTTTGTAAACAGATTAACATTTAAACACAACCTTAGTACAGGATAGTTAGAATTCTATGATTAGTTTACTTATTTTATGATGCTTTACGGTATTCATAAACAGTTGTAACATAGGATATGTATCTTTATCTTGTATGAAACTAATAAAAGACCATTATTATAGTTATTATTAATATTATAGAAGCACTAAGAATCCTCGCATGCTACTGCCTTTTTTGGCCAGAGCCGTCAGGTTTTTCGTTAGATTGTTCCAACTGAGTCTAATTTCCTACTTCAGAGGATACGTTTGCATAAAAAAGAGGAGTTGACTCGTTAAAATTAAAGCACTAAGCAGCGCGCCACAATTTTTAACAAAAACAAAAACAACAACAACGACATGTGAAGAAAAGCGCTATTTTAGTTTCTTAAGAAGAGAGGTCAAATATAGCCTGAGTACCATGGCGGTTTTGGTTGAGGCACAAAGTAAATAAAAGCGGGCGAGAGCAGAGAACCCGCCGCTCGTTAGGGCGCGCTTTGGGCGCAATTTTGCCACTTCGCCGCTCAGTCGTGCTCCCGAAAAAACTGCTATGCTCCCGAAAAGCCGCCATGCTACGCAGGCCAGGTCAAATACAGTCCACGGAACCTACCCGTGTGACCACCGCACGAAAGCGACCACCTCCTATAAGCAACCGTATCCAAGTTTCCCAATCAAAGCCCTATATACCGTAAATCCTCACCCCCCCGGGGCTTTTTTATTTCAAGCCCAATTGAGGGGGGCTTGATAGAGGCGGAGGGCTTATTTGATTTAGAAATGACGATGGTATCAGTTCTCAATAAAGAACAAGAATACAAAGTGAAAAATCTCAAGTACAAGAAGTTTTAGGTCATGCAGCCGAGGATCAGAATCAAATCCGAACTTCCAGCTGGTAAATAAACCATCCCGGATCAGTCCACACGAAGTTTTACCGTCGTGATTGATTAATACAGTCTATCATTTATTAGTGAAGAATAATTAGGGATGGGAGGGAGGGGGGGGCTTAATAGAGAGGGGGCTTATTCACTTTCAGTGAAAACATGAAACTATATTGATATCGTACCTTAGAAATTGTATGCAATAAATTCGTTCCAAAAAGAAGATCCGTCAGAGAGCAACAACGTCCCGTAAATGACCACTAAATC